AACAATTTGTACTAAATTAGTACTAAATTCGAAATTTTTCGCATTATTATACCAAAAATGTGTTCAAATTTACATTTAAATAATGTGCTGAACTATTTGAAATAAATTGAAGTTTTCTAAAAATGAACAGAGTGAACTTAATTTTGTTCTAAAAAATAAAAAATGTAATAAAAAAATATTTTGAATGCATAAAAGATATTTAAATAAAAATTTAGAAAAAATAGATTAATAAAATATAACAAATTAAGTAGAAAATCACCAAAAAGACACAATCCTTTTAGTTTAAGTAAACAGCAAATTAAAATTAATTGATTACAAAAACATTTGTTATTTATGTAATTTTTTAAATGTTCCCTCTTCTTCTCTATAAAATTCCTCAGCAACTCCAATTACAACCACACGAACACGGCCACAACATTGCCGCACATAATCAAAGACATATACACACACACCAATAAACAGACAGACTGGGTATATAATTTTCCCAAAAATATTCATCCAACGAACCGCCCTCAAACGCAAATGTAATTGCACTAAGCAACTCAAAACACTGCAGGCCAAAAACTGCACTCAAATCGTAATTAAATAACCGCAAAAGCATTTGCTTGTAAAACTTTCCAAATTTCAAAGCGAGAAAAAAAATTCCCAAAAAGAAAATCATCAAAAAAAAATTAGTTATAAAAGAAGCAGCGTAATAGAGCTAACTAACTAACGAACTAATGAAACGAGCGAAAGCGTAAACTTCGCACAGCGACCGCCAACGGCATGCCGGCGTGTCCTTGGCGCGTTCACACAGCACAACATAATCGAATTAAATGCTTTGAGTGTCAACAAGTGGCCGTTAGCATTGCCAATAACCCCAGTCAGACCATTAACAGACCCCCCTTCTGCCCCTTCCTAAAGCACAGTCAAGCCACAACCACAGTGCCAGCCACAGCCACACCCACATGCTAACTTTTACGATAGCAAACACGCCCACTTGCCGGCAAAATAAAAATAAAAATGGAAATATATAAAAGAATAAATCACCGCCACCCATTCTGTTGTTATAAAAATACATAAATAAAATTCAACACTTCATTGAGCACACCGTAAAGACTGGTGGTGGTACAGTGATAAACTGCTGTTGCTGCTGCAAGGCGAGCTTTTTATGAGCTTGGCGAAACTTTCGCCCGCCAAAGGTTGCGATGCAATAAAATTTGCAAGCAATAAACAGTATACTTACAGTTATTAGTTGCAGCTAATAAAAAAATTATATGAAAATCTCAATAAATTCAATGAATCTTGCTTTGGAAGTTGTGGCGCGTGAGTTGCTTAAAAAGCTTCCCAAACTTATGGGGAAGTGTATGTATGTTTTTGAATGAAATTGTAATAAAAATCAACTCTTTCAATTGCTGTTGCAATTCTTTTTATTGCTGATGCTTAAAAACATACTTGAACACTTAAGCTTACAAGTGCCGAAAGCTTTTCAAAACGAAATTTGAACAGCACTTAAGTTGCTAAATGATCTCAACGCCATTGCATATATAAGAAAGTTAGCGCATAACAGACTTAGTCTTCTTATTATAAATACAGTAAATATCAAATGTTCTAAAGAGCTTTTCCGAAGCTTTTAAGAGTTATATAAATAAATAGTATATGATATTTTTCGTAGAAAAACTTGCCAATAATTATGTTTTATACATTGATGATATATAAAAACATATATAAAACATATATGAACACTGAAGCTTAAAGATGGCAAAAGCTTTTCTGAAGAAAGTGTCAACAGCTTTTCTATTGTTAACCGATTGCCTTTCAAATTCTTGTTATAAAAAAATTAATAATGTAAATAAATGCATATTAATAATCCGAAGTACCATAAACTCTAAAGAGCTTTTTTAAAGCTTTCGAGTAAAAAAATAACTTTTGGTACTTTGCATAGTAAATAATCACCAGTAAATATAATATTTGAACCAACTATATACGAGTATTCATTGGAGAGCGCTTTTGCTTGGCAGCAAACAAAGAAGGCCATAAAACTTTTACGTCAAGCTTTTCAGCCAAGCTACTATGACTCAAATATCAAATATTTGCTTATAACATAGAAAAAGCTCTTTTATTTTCTTAGAAAAAATCTCATACCCAATGTATTTCTTTCAGCTTTAGGCTCCTTGAAAACCAAGCTCTACACGCGCAAAGCTTCGTGTGCAAAGTAAAAACACTCTTTTCTTTTAAAATGAAAGCTCTCAAAAATGTTCAAATAAGCGAAAAATTGGCAAAGGCTAATCATCACCATCATTATTACTTTAATAATAAGTCATAGCATATTTAAAATTCCAATGCCATCCTTAGTAATTACATAAATTCATTTTGCTAGTCTGTTGACATAAAAGCTTTGAAATTACAACCCAAGATCACGCAACTATTCAGACATGTATTTAGTAATCATTATGGTCATAATAAATGACGCAAAATGAAGTTAATTAAATAATAAATGAAAAACACACCTAAAAAGTCCTACACATTTGTGTGATTAGGTGCGGTGAGCTTGAAAGTATGTATGAAATATAGGAAAGAATAATAAACGCACCCAAATTTTCGCACAATGTGCACGACTGTGTTATGGCAAATGCATTTGTAGATCATAAAAGCTTGTCGTGTCATTGATTTAAAGTGAAAATTAGTTTTTTGCCCAAAAAAACATTAAAGCGTCGAAAGCTTTGAAAGCTCTTTAGTATCATAGTAATATTTATTTACAATATTTATATTTCTGGGTATAATTAGAATACCCTAATTTGATCAATAAATACTAATATTTTCAAAAAGCTTAAAAAGCTTGCAAAGCTACTTGGTACTGTGTGGTGGTTTAATTTGCTTATTTTCCTCATTTTTTTACGCCGTGCTGTAAAAGCATTACCAGACTCGGTCAGTTGTGGCAAAACCTTGAGCTGATGGCTTTGAAAACTTCATCTGCTGTGCTTCTTTTATTTGAAACTATGACTTATGTCACCCAGTCTCCCCTCCTCTTCCTCCTTCAAAGTACCAAAGACAAACGAAATAAATTTACCAAATATGGTTATAATTTTGTTCTAACAACTTTTTTAAGCGGCCTAGCAAGCTTTAGGGCTTTCGGAATTATACTTCTTATCAACAATATATTTGAAAGCTCACTTTTTCGGTATTGTAAAAACTTCGAAAACAAATTGTAATACTGCTTTTCAACTCATTAAATGCTTTCTATCAATATAATATTATAAATCAAATATAATTTTTGAAATAGTATAGTAATATTTTTGTATAAAATATTTTTCTCTCTATTTTTTTTCATTTTCAAATCTTCATATTTTATTGCGTGACAATTCGCCTCTCGAAACGACAAAACCGTAATGTAATGCCGTACAGCTCATACGGATCGACGTGTCTTATATCCACAGTGTCCGGTGCTAATTAATGGCATTTTTTATACGATTAGGTAAAAAAAAATTACATTATTAATAGAAAAAAGTAAAGATTTTCACTTTATTTGCGGCTTTAAGGTGTTTTTGTTTTCGGTGAAAGCTTACATGTATCAGAGGCTTATATTTAAATACAAAAGCTTCCACGCAGCTTATTTAGTGTCTATGTAGTTGCTTTCATATACCTACAATACATACATATATATTACTTCAATTGGGTTCATATCTTTCAAAAATGCCGTATTCGTCCTAAAAGCTTCAATACGCCTTTTTCCTATTGTCGGTGTGTCAGTATTGTAACTTAATTTTTTTTAAATGAAATTAGTAAATTCTTTTTTCTCTAGATTGCAGTTTTCAAATTAGCAAAACAAAGATGCTGAATGATTTTCAAAAATCTAATTATACAGAGCTTTTCAGTCACTTTGAGTTGTTCATGAAAAAGTGTAATGGGAGATTTTAAGACCAGAGCTTTAACATTAATTTCTGAAACTTCTATAAACATACTGTCAAATATTCACTATGAAACGGCGGTTTTTTTTTCAATTTTGGAAAATTCGCGATAAGGGTTTATGCTTAAAGCTTGAAAAGCTTCATTTCTAAATATTATCTAAATTTGTTTTATTAATTTTAATACCATTTTTAAAGCTGTAAAATAAAATAAAGGCTTCTTAAGAAACTTCAGTGCAAAGCATATAAAAGTTTAACATTAATTTTAAAGTCTAGAGCTTTACAAGCTCCTTTTTCTAATACCACCAAAAATCATAACAAAGCTTTGAAAGAAAGAGCAGAATCTCAGGCTAATTTCAATGCATATTTTTTATAATTAACTTTGCTCTTGAAAGCTTAAAGCTCTAAGCTGAATCTGCATGTTGCTGTGCAAAACACTTTCAAAAAAGTTTTTGGGATTTTATTTTTCAAAACTTTATTTCTATAAGCCATAAACACCACAATAAAGCTACAAATTCGAATTATGCATAAATAATAAAAAAGAACGCTTTACATTTATCCCTAAAGCTTTCAGCCACATTTTTACTTTTAACCATTTTGCAAATGATGCTATCAATATTCTAATTCATTCGAGCTTTGGCTCGGCTGGAAAGCTTTTTTTTTTTTTAGCAAGTAGCCGTGGACAGGCATTTTTCTAATTTTCTTCAAAAGCTTTTGTTATAATCTCTGCTAGTATTTAATATATGTTTTGCAATGAAAAAAATACAAAGGAAAATTCTAAAGTATTACTATTTTTTTTTTTAATTGCCTTCGTCTACGTCTTGAAAGCTACACTCTTTCCTAAAAGCTCCACAACCCGCTTTAGGCAGCTTTTATTTTCATATCGTAATATTTTTCTCAGCCTTAACTATCATGAGGACCGACAATTTAATGTTTTCTAAAACACATAACGTAAACCGAAAAAAAAAATTAATTTAGTACTCGTAAATTTTTTATACTCGTACAAATATCAAACTTGTATATATTTTCTTTCTTTTTCTCTTTCTCTTTTTTGTATATTTCTAGTGCCGCCTATTAGGATATGTAACTGTTACTGCATAAGACAGCCCATTAGTTCATAAGCTCACTGAAAGTTTAATCAAATTGATAATCAAAACAAAATCGCAATCGAAATCGAAATCAAAAATCAAAAATCAAAAATCAAAAATCAAAAATCTAAATCGTAACTGATAGACAAAACTAGTTAAAGAGAAAATTAAACAAAAAAAAAATAAGAAAAGAATTCTTCAACATTCCCTAGTGAAAATTAACGACATTTGCACGATAAAAGAAAAATTTAAATTTTTATAATAATTGAATTAAGCTCAAACACAAAAATAGGAAATCAAACGAAAGCATTTAATTGAGAAATTTACGAATTATACTATCTATCATACCTTCAAAATGATGAATGCAACAACAAATGTGAAATACAAGCGCACGCAAAGCGTACAATTCCATGAGAAAGTGAGTTGAAAAAGTGAGTTGAATAACATTTTTGCCTACAACTACTACAACAACTGAGCTCGTAATTATTTACATGTGAAAGCTTTTAGCTTCAAGCTTACGCTTCTTATATTTTCAAGCTTTCTGAAGCTTTTCATATTTATTTCTCTTGCTTAACTAATGCAACATTTTCACTACTCTACCACTCTATATCAATTTCTTATGGGAAAAATAGTACGCATAATAATATAAGTAATAAGCAGCGCCTTCAGAGCTTTCCTTTCCACTTTTCTTACGAATATTAGCTTTTCAATATTTTTTGTTAAAAAATATATATTTTATAATCTATAGATTGCTTTTAAATGGTTGTCCCATGCGTGATTTTTTGCTCTTATAATTATTACACAAATTTTTTTTCATATAGTTCTGCTTTTGGCATTACCTTCAAAAACGATATATAATATAATAGAGAACGCCTAAATTTATGTGATAGCATTCTATTCATGTATGTTTATAAGTTTGCAGAAAAAATGGATTCGGTAAATTTTAAGTTCCTCACATCAAATGTACATGTACATATAAGTTACGTGAAAGCTCTTAGATACTTAGCTTTTATTTAAGTTGGTTTTTAAAAAGTTATTATGATTAGAAAATTAAATGTTTGAAAATGATTTATTGACAAAAATTACAAAAAGTGATAAATTTACGTAAATACTAACCAAAAAATAAAGCGATTATTAATTGGAATGGTAGCGAGGCACAAAAAAAATTACTTTATATAAAGTTTTAAATTTCAATCAAATTTAAATACAAAAAAATCATCACCATTTTTTTGCCACAAAATTCTAAAATTATGAAGAAAGCTCAAAAAGCTATTAAACAAGCTTGAATCTTCTACAAATGAAAGCTCAAGAAAAAATTTAGACTCCTTAAATTTTTTTTAAGTCTTTGAGGACTATAACAAAATCATAACAATATAATCCCTACGAGCCATATTATTGTCAGTAACTTGACTGTAGTAAAGAAGTTTTTGCAAATGAGCATTCAACTGCTAAAATGTAATAAAAGCTTACAGTTACTAGCTAAATATAATTTCAACTTATTAATTGTAATGGAATAAATTTCCAAAACTTAGTTCAAAGCATAGAAAGCTGAAGCTTCACTAGCTTACATGACAGTTTTTCATTTGCGGCCAAAATTATTTTTGTTTTTCCTCAATATGAGGTATGAAAATCCATGAAGTTAAAGAGAAATAACAATTTAATAAGTTTTTTTGAAGTTCACAGAGCTTTTAAAAAATGAAGTATACAATTTTAATGCTCTTATATGCTCTTATTTGAATAATTAGCACGTTTTAAGTTTAAATAAAAAAGAGCTTTGCGAGCTTTCACCGCATTTCATTTTTTAATTTTATCAAAATAATTTTTTGATGATGCATTTTTGATAAAAAGCATTTATAAAAAAAATTCAGTAAATTATATATATATATATATGTATATGTATTTATATGTATAGATATATGCACTACAATATAATTCTGAAAGCTTTCTTGATAGAGCTTGCATAAAAATCTGACATTATTTTTAGCTGTGTTATAAAATTAACGCAATTAGAATTCTAACTGAATAGGTTTAGCCAGATAAAGTGGAAATTTTAAATACGCGAGCTTTCGCAAGCTTTTGTGTCAATTCCACTTTTCAAGCAATTTAATAATTATTTAATTTTTTTTTTAAATATATCACTTTAAATTGAAAAAAGTCTAACAAATTTTCATTAAACACTTAAATTTAAATTCAATTAAACAATAATAAAATAGTGAAAAAATATTTTAAAAAAAAACTAAGCTTTTTGCAAAGCATTGGTAATTAAGCGATAAGTCAACACACAAAAATACTTCTCTACACAGTCAATTAATAAACGCTTTGTCATAATTATTTATAGTTTCTAATTTGCGCTGTCACTCGAAATATGTATGTCTGTATGTAATTAGAAAAATATTTATAAACTCGTAAAATATTAGTATAGAATATTTCCAACAAAAAGAAAACTGTTTATACATATGCAAAAAAAAAAAATATACAACTTATATTATGACAAAAATATCCAACACCAACGCGCATCATCCATACACAACAGTAACGGCATAAACCGTATTTATAGAAATTATTTAGTAGCAGAAGCAGCAGAAAAAATATTTAAAAAAAAACATTAAAAAAAAATTAAAATAATATTTAGCAAACAGCTGTTTGTCATAACAACAACAACTGCCAGCAGCAGCGACGTGCCGTAACTACATAACCGTATAACATATATTTTACATACATAGCGATATGTATTTACCTCTATATACTATATATATACAATGAATTATTAGAAATGTTTATTATTATTGATTGATTATATGCTGTATTTTTTAACTCATAGTAAACATATGATACTAATTTTTACTCTTTTTTCTTTCTTTTTTCTTCTCTTCTCATTATTTTTTTACGAACAAAAATTAAAAAAAAAATATTTTAAAAATATTACAAAAAATCTAAATTTTAAAAACCTCAAAATTGCAAATTTCGTAATGACGAAAAAATTTGCTACGCAAATTTATCTTTTTTTATAATTTTTTTTTTTATAAAAACTCCTTTCGTAAACGTATTGGCTTGATATCGTTGTTATGCGCTACTCAAAATTCTTCCTCTTCTTTTTTCCAACAATAAATTGTATATTTTCGCCAATTTATAATGAATAATTCTTACGCATTGGTTGTTCTTTGATTTTGCGTATTATCTATACGATTGTTGTATGTATTGTATACAACTTTTTTTTGGTTTTCGTTCGAGTTTTTTTTTTTTTTTTTGTTTTTTTTTTTGTGCCCGCATCCGTATTGAAAACGTAAATCGTTTCGTAACGTATTTGAAACCGCATCCGCATCCGCCATATGCATTGTCATTATCAAATAAACAACTCAACTACAACTACAACTACACATAAACAACAACATCTACAACTACAACAACAACAATGTAACAATGTAATAGTTACTGGACACCCTCCCGGTGTGCCAAGATTTCAATAGATCTATGTGCAGTCGGTTAAATTGTAGATTCGTTCATTTAACTGAAGGTAAGTGCATGCCATTGCTGAATTTCCTTTTCATTTATTGATTTAATAATTTTTAGTGAATTTTAATTTAACTTTAGTATATGTATAAATGCTATTAGCTTATTTAAATAGATTATATTTTTTATTTATTTATTTATTTTTTTTTTTTTTGGTTTTTTTTTTGCGCAAATGTATCTTAGTCCACCTACTACACTACACAACACAGTGCTTTACCGTAAAATCGAGAATTTAGTTTGCCCAATATCCATCGCTTATTTGCATTTAATTATTTAGCAAAGTCATTTTGGTTTATCAGTATAGCTCTTGTTATGTAAATACTGCTTTCGGTAGTTTAAATTTAAAAAATTAATAAAAAAAATTAAAAAAAAAATTGTTAAACGTGAAAAAAATTATAAAATTTAAAAAAATATAAAATTTAAAACAATTGTAAAATTAAAATAATATAAAATTGAAAAAAGTGTGTAAAAAAATAATTTTAAAAAATAGTGTATGTGTTAAAAAAATTATAGAAAAATTGTAAAAAATGTAAAAAAGTAAAAAAAAAACGGTAAAATAAAAAAAACATTAAAATATAACAGCATATGAAGTTAACAAAAAACTTATGAAATTTTTAAAATTAAAATATGTTATTTAACTAGAAAAAAAAATTACTTTTCCTTCTTTTCCACACAACCATTCAAAACTATTAACCTTACCAACTAGACGCCAACCAGTCTTGAATTAAGTCTCGACTGCTCTCTTGAAATGTGTCCGTAATGGTAAAATAAGACATATTAAAAAGTCAATGGCGATATTTTTTATTGAAGTACTCATATATAGTATATATAATTGGCGCTATGTAACCGCTGAAGCGATTTTCGGCCGAAGTAGTCATTGACTAGTCCATAATTAGCCTCCTACTCGTCTTGTACAACCAAACTGCTAGCAAATTAATCCAAAAGTCTCCACAAACTGCAAACAAAACTTTTGAAAAATAATTCCCAAAAAAAAAAAGTAGTAATATAATTGATACCCGGCATAGTATTAAAGAGGTCCCCAATCGCAACTTTTGTTTGGTCCCAAACTAGTCTTTAATGGATCACACTCAGTTTATAGTACATGATGCCGCTTTCAGTACCAAGATGCTAATCAAGGCTTCTGCTAGGTAAAAATTTGGCTGACCTTGAACTAGTACCGAACTAGTCCATAACTTTTATTTAAATGAATACACTGTTAACTAAAAAAGTATCCGCTGTCGTTTTGAAATAGAAAGAAGATTATCTACAAATCGCCTCAAAAGTTTTTCTATACCGAACTGCTAGTGAACTAGTCTCCAACTGTTACGGAGATTCTCTGTAAATGGTGTCATCGTAAATTTGGCTTACTCTAGCTAAAATTTAATAAGCTCACTCCAATTACGATAGTTTTGTCTACACTGAAATCACGCAAATCAGTAAGTGAAACAAAGAAACTTCTCATAGATTAATTTCAAACTAGTACTCAAGCGACCATTATCATTTGGTTCTAAAATATAAGCGAATTATACAGAATGCCTAACAAAACTGTACTCAGGGACTAGTTCCAAACTGGTCATTAATTATACTTGGAGATATATGGAGATTTCAGAATTTCTGTCAAAATCGTAGACCGGGACTAGTTCCAAACTGGTTATTTTTCATGTTTGAACTTTTTCAAAAATTCTTTCATTATGGTGATTTCGTTTAAACGATCAGCGCTCCTGAAATGCTTTTACCATTATCAAGTGAGCTTAGACGACGCCAAATACAAGTAGTACTACCTTCGAAGTTATAAACACAAATATATAAACTTTCCAAATACTTACGAGGATGTACATATGTATGTAAAAATTACAAAGCTTTTCTGCGATAATTCAATGATTTTATTTAAAAAAAAAAACGTATTTAAATTCAAAAAAAAAATTATTTCAAATTTTTGGAAAAAATAAAAGTTTTTATATCTGCGTGATAATAAAAAAAATTCTTAACTCTATTTATGTTTTTTTATTTTTTTAATTATATTTTATTTAAATTTTTTTTATTTTCTTTTTATTTTTTTCTAATTAAGGTTTTATAAATTCCTACAAATATATAAACATTTTTAATCGTTTATTATCTAAATAAAACTGAAAAATAAATCTGCTCTAAATATCTCCTTAACTATAAATTATTTCCAAAAAATTATGAAAATATACAAAATTGTTTAGAATTATAAAAACTTAAAAAATATATATAAATTCGAAGAAATCTTTTAATTTTACTAGAATTAAGTATTTGTAAGCAATATTCTTCCATAGTAAAGCAGCACTAAAATCACTTACAAATAAATTGTATTTTATTCTCTCCTTCAACACGCATACACGCACACGCACACACTTAACAGGCAAACCAATATTATTATTTTAGATAAAAATGTGTATAAATATAAATAATATACCTAATTATATAATTTTATTAAATAAATAATAAAAATTTCAAAATTTTTGCTAATAAAATCCTCGTCTTATTCTTCTTCTTCTACTTCTTTTCTAACTCCTCACTTCACCCCCATCCAACACACCGCAGATGATAAGGTTGAAGTATGCGATCAGCGTGTGGCTGTGTGTCGCGATCACGCTAACGGTCAGTGCAGACGTAAGCAATGTAAATATTATCATATACCGATTGTGTTGCCGCCGGCGAATGTTATGGCTGCGATAATTAATACGAATAGCAACAGTGGCAGCAGCAGCAACAACAACAACAACAACAGCAGCAGCAGCAATGGCATGCACAGCAACAGTAGCAGCAGTATTAGCAGCGGTGCAAGCAGTCATAGCAGCATAAACAACAGCAACAACAACAACAGTAACCACAACCAGAACAATCAATTGCATACAATCACACAACAGCAGCAACAACAGCAACAACAGCAGCATGCCAAGTCCGCAGCAGCAACCACTGGCATCGCCACCAACTACAATAACAATTTGATAATAATCGAACCACAACAACACCAACTACACCAACAGCAACAACAACAGTTGCAGCAGCAACACTACAACTATGTACACCACAACAATTACACAACAACCACACACTACAGTCCCAGCCAGAGCAGCAATAGTAGCAGTGGCAACAACAACAGCCACAATAGCAGCAGCAACAGCAACAACAACAATAACAACAACAACAACAAACATGTCACACACACCATCTACCATCAGCAAGCGCAACCTACGCCCTATCATCTAACACACTTCACCTGCCATTCGCCCTACTCACCCCCATCCGCCTCGTCATCGTCCTCCTGCTCGATCGCCACCTCGCCCACAGCGCTCACCTCGGCCACAGCGACGCTGCCGACCACCTCCACCGTCACCATGCCCACAGCGATCGCCACCATACCAACAGCGCAGGCGCCGCATGCCGCTTACTTGAAAGCCGCTGCGCCAGCTGCACAACTTACCGCCTACACTGGCAGCGCGGCGGGTGCGTACGAATTGTCAGCTGGCGCGCCGCCGCCTACATTGTTGTTGAGCAGCAGCGATTACAATTCAAATTGCATTCCGATTTTGACAGCGCATCATCCGCAGCAGCAGCAACAACAACATCAACTCCATCAACAACCACAGTCACCATTAGCCACAGCAGCGGCATCGTACATTTATCCGACCCATCATCATCATCATCACCAACAGCAGCAGCAACAGAGCATGGCAGCAGCGCAACAACATTTGATGAAATATGCTGCAGCTGCCGCTGCCGCTGCTGCACAAGCAACACAACATCAATATCATTATGCAGCAGCGCCACAATTACTAAACGCTGCAGCGCCGCCACAGCATATTCTGACGGCAGTGACAACGAGCGCTAGCGCGCCGCAAACACATTTGTTAGCGGGTGTGCCAGTAACAAGCGCACCACTTATGGTGGCAACAACGAATGCGCCTGTAGCGGCAACAGTAGCGCCAGCGATTGGTGGTTGTATATGAAGTGGTGGATTGCGTTATAACGGCGAAACGGGCAACAACTACTACTACAACAACTACTATGCGCAACAGCAATGGCTACAGTGTGCGCAGGCATGCAATTTCTATCAGCGACAGCAGCACTAAGAACAAACACATTACGTAATAATAAGTGGCACTAAAGGCGTGTAAGCGTTAGCAGCGCACGTGAGGCGCTGCCTTCATTTGGGCCAAACGCCGCAACACGATCGGCTGTTTCTTCAAAGAAAGCATGCGCGCGCGCCCTCTACAAACTCATAGCGCATTGACTCTTCTCTCACTTTGATGTGCGCCGTAAGTTGTCAGCAACATTTCAAATATACACTCGATTATTTTAGCAATAAGCACTAAATAAATACACATAATACCGTTAAATTATAAATATGATTGTATATATGTGTAACAGCTGCCCTAAGTTGTCAGCCGAGCAATTTTGTGAGCTCTTTAACTAATTTACTAAATTTTTTTTTTAAGTTTTAAACCACTTTGTTAAATATTTAATTTTTATACATTGTTTTTGTTTTTCCGTAGTAGAAAAAAATAAAATATGTTATGATTTGTAAAGGCACATAAGTAACTATTAGCAATCAATCAACGTTTATCGTTTGTCCCCTACTCATCACCTAGTATATATTATATGTATATTTGTAAATTAGTATATAAATTTTATTGTTGTAAGTTTGAATCGAAATGAATAATCATGAATCAAGAAACACTAAATACTCATTAACAGCAATAATTGATTAGTATTCTATATATTTTAATTAAATTATTCAAAAATCCCTTCTGGTCATTGGCGGGTTAAGAGCCACCTCAGCAACGAGTGGTAAAATATTTTAAGAATTTTCTCAATATTGCTAGTGGATTAAATGACAAAATTCAAGCAGAAACTTAAATATGTTAGTAAACCGGTCGACAGAGGGTTAAATAATTAAAAAAAACCAGAAAACAAAATCCGAAAGCCCCAAAATTATGTGATTGTTAACAGCGGGTTAAGCTAAGTAGTAAAAAAAAAAGGTCAGCTCGTATTATGTCAGATATAGAATAGGTTCTACATTAGCCAAGAAATATGGTAGGTTATATCAGTGTCGAGACCATATAAGTACCACTAAAGGGTTAATTATATGTGCAACAAAAAAATGTGGCATAAATGGAAAGATAAATACGATTTCTAATAGCGATAAGGTCGGCAGCTAATGGTATGGCTGGGGATAAACTTTATGAGAAAGAATAATATAAATAGGGTGCCAGAAATTCCTTTACGGAAAGAGCAGTCAGAGAGCGACCGAAAGAGAGCGACCGAAAGAGAGCGGATGCTTAAATATCACTAATGACAATGACGAATTTTCGACTAAAATCCAACTGCCGTGCTGAAAAGAAATTGCAAATGTTGCTTCCACTTTATACACCTTGACCAGATTCTTTTATTAATATAATTTTATGATTTTATTTAATCTTATTTTATTAATTTTATTTTATTTCACTCTATTTTTTCAATATTACTTTACTTATTTAATTTAATTTTATATATTTATATATATATTTTATATATTTTATTTTATTTCATTTCATGTTATTTTATTTTATTTTATTTTAAATTATTTTGTTTTATTTTATTTTATTTTATTTTATTTTATTTTAATTTATTTTATTTTATTTTAATTTATTTTATTTTATTTTATTTTATATTATTATGTATTATTTTTTTCCTTCATTTAATTTTATATTATTTTATTCTCTTTTATTTTACTATATTTCGTTGTATTTAACTTTTTATATTATTTTAGTTTATTTTTTCCTTTTATTTTAATTTATTTAACTTATTTTTATTTTATTTATTTTTATTTAACTTATTTTTATTTTATTTATTTTTATTTTGTATATATATTTTTTTTTATTATTTTTTTCTCTTAGTTTATTTTAAAACCGTTTATAAAATCTCATCAACACACACACATACGCTCTCAAACAATTTCATCCAATCACACCAACAATTATCACAATAATTATGGCAACAATTAAAGGTTGATAAACTATTTACAAAAACATTTGAAAATAAAAATATTAAACTAAATTCAAATAAATAAGAATATTAGAAAACTAGTAAAGAATAGCAACTACAACAACAACTAACAGTGAATAAATATTAGAAATATTAAACAAAAAATATTAGCAATAAAAATAAAAAATATATATATATATGAAAATTGAAATAAAATTAAAACAAAGAAAGAAATATTAAAAATGTGTTGTATAATTTTTTAAAAAGCAGTAAGACTTCAATGAGTTTTCAATAGTAGTTCATTTGAAAAAAAGAAAATATTATATACACTTTATTATAAATGAGGTTGTAGATTTAAGAACAGTTTAAGATAATTAAAAACGGCAAAGTATATATTAAATATTATTTTAAGTGAGTAAAAAGAGAAAATAAAATTAATACACTTGAAAAAATAAGCATTACTTTAGTTTAGTAATTACACATTTAAACATTTTGGAATGAACAAAATATTAGAGTAGTTGTAGTTTTTGAAAGTTTTTGGAAAAAAAAATCTAAGAAAATATAGTTGAAAAAGAATAAGCGCAAGAGCATATGGTACGTTGGGCGAAGCAGCAAAAGAGTAAATGATGAGTGAAGAAATAATACGAGAGTCCAATAGGGAGAAAGGGATAGAGAGAGAAAGAGATAGGGAGTAAGAGCAATAAGCTCAATGGGTACGCCGCTGCTGTTTGTATATAGTGAAAATTTTTTAAGTGTATTTAACAAGTATCTGGTGTAGATTGGGGAAATTAATTAGTGAAAACGATAACATGAAATTAGAAAGTAGAGAAAAAGAAATGAAAACTAGTTTTAGTAGGATTAGTTACACAATTTTAACTCTAGTGCTCCATTTTTCAGCAAGATTCAAACTTAAATAATGAAAAAAAAAATAATACAAAAAATTAAAATTAAAAAAAAAAAATTAATAAAAAAATAAATAAAAGTCAATAAACGAAAACAAAAGCAAATCATATATGACAACTAAATAAATAAATTAAAATTAAATTTGCAAAATTACAACAAATATAACACTATTCTTAAATTGTACACTGAGAGAAACCTACAACACATAAACAATGACTTTCCACACGCCAACAAAAATCACAAAAATCACTACAAACAATTGTTAAGTGAAACGAAAATAGTTGAAATTAACAACAAATTAGCAGTTAATTAAATATATAAATAAAAAATAAAAATATTAAACAAACAAGTACAGTCACGTCCTATTTTTGCAACAACGATTTATTACTAGAAAAAATAAAAAAAAATAAAAGTAAAACAGTTGAAAAACTCAACAATAGTGGTGTTTCTTTACTAAAAATATAGTCTTAAAAATTTGAAAACGGCAAGCATATAAAACTGAAATAAAATAAACAAATTAATAAAAAACAAAAATTTTAAAAAAGAAATAAAAAATAAAAATAGATAAAAAAAATTAAAACTTAAAGCAAACACTAAATAAAATGTATTAAAACTACTGAGCGGCAAAAAATGAAATAGTTGAATAATTTTTTTACTACACCGTAAAGTATGGTTTATAAAAAACATTAACAGAAATATGAAACTTACCATATAAAAAATAAAGAAGTTTTAATAATTTTAATAAAAGAAAAGTATTTCAATACAAGAATGAGTAAATAAATTAATATTAATAATAATACTACAATTGCGATAAAAATATAAAATTACTAAAAAATATTAAATCATAAAAAAATCAAACAATAATTTTTTTATCTAAATAAAAAGAAGAAATGAAAAATCAAATTTAGGCATAAGTTTTTTTTTTTTTTTTTTTTTTTTTTTTTTTTTTTTTTTTTTTTTGAAAATTATTGCACACAATTTAGTTAAAAAATAATATTGGTTAATATTAAAAGTAAAATTTAAGCAGCGGTTAACTTATAAGGCAGTACACATTTTCTTTCGTTAAAAAATATATAATTCTAAAGAAAAATCAAATCATCCTCTAGCTGCACTTACTTCAAAATAAAAATATTAATATTATTATATTTTCTTACAAACGGTTTTTTAATTAATTTTTTTTAACGAAATTTTAATGTTATATTTATTTTACTTTATTATTGTTTCTATTCTAATTCCTTTTTTTAATATCTGGGTAACAAAAAAATTAATGAAAATTATTTACTATAAAATTTGTTTTACAAATTCGTTTGTAACTTTGTTGTCTAGATAATTTTCTATTAATTAAATTAATTTTTATCTATAAATAAAGCATATATTTTAAATTCTTCTTGAGTAACTAAATTAATTAGTAATTTTAAATTAATTTTTTAGAATAAAAAATCTAATTGTTTTAAGAAACAAATATTTAAAAAAATCTGTTATAAAAAATTTATTCGAATATATTCAAGTTTTTTTAATTTCTTTCTTCCCAAGAAATATAATTATATAAATTGTTACTCTATTTATTTGAATTTTTTATATAAATTTTCTTTTTAATTGAAATATTTTTTCAAACCATTTATTATATTACATGAATATTACTTAGCATTTTCTTTCTATATTAATTTGATATGTTATAAAAATATAAAATTTTTTTTATTAAAATAGCATTTTTGAAAAAATTATTTTTTGAAGTTAGGCAAAATTGCTGTCTTATAAAAAATAATATAATAACATTTAAAAAAATTTAATAAGAAATAATTATTAGAAGTACATAATATATACACCAACACTATCCTTCAAAAGTTGATAAATTTTTATGTAAATATACAATTTAAATATTCCCCAAAAACATACACACATACATACAATAAATTATTGCAAATTTAGAAAAAAAAAACTTAAAAAGAGTTAAAAAAATTTAGATATCATATTTATTAACGATAACTTATAAAGGAATGTGATCTTTTAAAACAAAAACAAAAAAAGAAGTACGAGTACTAAATTAATGTTATGCAAAATGTGTTGAAACGTAACAGAAACTACAACAAAAAGTTTCAAAACACCCACACACATACACACGAGCGTAAATACTTAAGTAATAAATAATTTGAAAAATTAATAATAAATAAAATATTAATAATAAAAATTGAATTAAAGAGAAAAATTTTAAAAATAGAAATGAAAATGAAAATAAAAGTAATAAAAACAAAAATGAAATAAAATTAAAATAAATTAAAATATTATTACAAAATAATTCAATATCACTGAAAATAATATTACAAAAAATATACGAAAAAAATAACATTAATTGATTTAAAAATCACTAAAGATACTGTTTAATGGTTTAAAAAATAATAATTTAAAAATCTAAAATAATTTACTTTTTATAATTATAAAAGTCATCATCAATGATATGCATACATATATATATTAAATGGTATATATTTACTTACATATACATATTTATAGCATATGAATACATACATAAATATATATATTATATAAATATATAAACATCGTATTTATTTAAGGGCTGGTTATAATCAACGGAAATTTCTACAATTCTACAAAACAATTAATTTTTAAAACAAACAAAAAATTCATTTACCTTTTTAGACCTTTCAAGATTTACCAAAAAGAACAATTTCATAATATTTTTAAGCTTCGAAATGTGTCTTACTATTTTCTCTATAATGCAATTAGATTACACAAATCTTTATAAACTAGCAATATGCACATAATTTTTTATATATTCAAAATACATACCAATATTTCAGAATTTTTAAATTTTAAGTTTTATAAATATATTAAATAAATTTCAAAATTATTTTAAATAGTAAATATACATTTGATGATTTTTTAAAATTTGCAAAATATTATTTTCTTTTTTATATTAAAAAAAAAATATTTTATTTTTTTAAAGCTTAAAATTATTATAATATTCAAATATTGCTTATCATAAACATATATATTTTTTAAATATTTTTTCCTACCCCTTAAAAATTGTTCGTATTACGTTACAAAAACAAAAAAAAACAGAATATGTTAGATAAAAACTTCCTATCAACTTTTCTCCCACCTGTGCTTAATTTAGTGCTCTTGAAATAGTAACTGTACTTCACTAAAAGCTCTCTCTTTGCAATCAATACACGTAGAGCAAGCATAATAAGCAACAAATGAACACCATAGTGACTGGTGGGCAAGAGCAAGATAGTTATATATACTGTAAGGCAATTTTGTTGGACAAGCAATCCAGCGACAGTCTGATTAGGCGAAAAATATTTCAAACATTATTTTTAAAATTCGGTTTGACTTCCTCAAATATTTTTTCCTGCTAAAAAGAAATTATACCCCTTAAAATGATTTTAAGATGAAATGATTTCGTTTCGCACTTATTCCAAAAATAATAATAATAACAAAAAACACATTTCCAAACTCACCTCTTCTCCATGCCCTAGAAAACATGCACTAGTTCTTACAAAAATAAATAGACAAAATCAAGCACCCCAAAACACTCAACTAAAGCTTAAT